GGGGGGGGGGGGGGGGTAAGTTAATAAAATTAGAAGTTAAGGGGGTACTTTTAAATTACAAATCTGATTTGGTTGCCCTAAAATTTCTTCTATAAAAAGATCCTCTTGCCAATGATTAGGTCACATACAAAGAGTAAAAAAAATAAAGGGAAACGGTTGAGAACGAAATTTTTTTCAAGGGTTCTTAAGAAATCTTGAGTTTTCTACTGTTTTGGGGTCCTTCTTGGTTGGATTTCAGAAGGTGGAATAGAACTTTGGGTATATTCATTGCTGATTTTTGTTGAGCGGAGCTAAGAACTGCAATTTGCTTTGCTCTTTTAAGGTGTTTTTTTCTTTTTGCTAGGTATTTTCCTAATCTTTTGTATGCTTGGATTGATTTGTCTTGAATGAAATGTTGATTTCCTTAAACATTCGAGAATCAATAAAGTTAGATTGCTTATTTCTTGCAATGATTTTGGAATTTCTAGCCCATTTAAAGCTTTAAATCTGCTTTAGTTTTGTCTTCTACTTATTTGTTTTGTCATTTTGTATAATGGTTGGAGTATTTGGACAAGGGAAATGGCCTATCAACATCAGTAGTTGATGAAACATAGATTTTGAATGGCATGTTGTCTTCTTCTTTCCTTTTCTTACTTTAGAAACATTTTATGTTAGTGATGAATAGTATGAAGGTATCAGTTACTAAATGCCCCTTTTGATTTTAAGGTTGAGAATGTTGTGTAGGTCAAGCAGATTTGGCTGTAGTATGAATAGGAATTCTACTATAGTTTACTTTATTTGAAATATGTAGATTTGTGTTAGAGTTGTTTGCTATTGATTATTTAGCTATAGTTTGCAGATCTGACCACTAATTGATTAGATTGGCAAGCTCTAAAGCTAAGGAAAGGATTTAAAGTTGATAGAAAAAGGGTTTGGAGCTGAAGATTAAATCAGACCGTGTATTAGTTTAGTTTATTATTGCAAATGATTTTGTATACATTAGAAGGCACTAATTATCAAGTGTTGTATTTGAAATGGCCAAAATTGTAAATGTCAGATTCTAGGTGATTTTCTTTTAAGTTTCAAAGGCCCATGATTCCTTTTTTTTAATATGTATTTGCTGTATTTGGACAGTTACCACAGATTTGCATATTTGCATAAGGAATTTGGAGTCAGTTTATATTGGGTTTAGTCAAGTTTAATTATCAGCCCAATAAGGATCTTAGCAAAAATCATTTGAGAGCTTGATATTTTTTCAGAAAAAATGGGCTTATATACCTGGCCCGTATCCTTGTAAATAAAATTCATGATTTCTTTATTAATTCATTTCACATATTTTGGGTTCAAAAAAATTGATTGTATTTAGTTCTTGAATCCTAATTTATCTGTCTAATTATGACCATTTGTGGCACTTCCTTTAGTATCTAAAAATGCATTCATCCATTGTTTATTCTACAATTTGGGCCCTCGTATGCAATCATAAACTGAATATCAGTACTTGAATCTTGTAAGCATAATCGTCTGCTTTGGGCGTGAACCCAACCAAATCTCATCTTTCTTTTAGCTTGAATTGCTAATAGTCGAGTATAACCTATTAAAACAAATTGAGGCATTCCATCTATAATTAAACTCTGTAATTCATGGCCCTCATATTAATACCAACTAGTATAGAAAATACTTTTGAATATTTTGTAGTTTGCTTTAGGCTCGTAATTAAAATCGTAACACTACGAATACGGTTCCCGTGGCGTAGTTGTGATACCTAATTTCAAATTAGATTTAAATAGGAGCATCCTTAGCTTGCTTTAATGAAATACAAACTTCTAAAAAAATAAATCGAGGCTCACAATTGAATCACCTAACATATGGCCCTCACATTATATTAACTTAGTATAGAAAAACACCTTTTTAAACACTCGTAGTTTGCTTTAGGCGTGTTTATAATAAAATCATCATAGCTACGGGTATGGCTCCTGTAACGTAGCTGTGATACCTAATTCTCAAATTCGGGGGTATATTTATGTGACCCGGCCACAATTTCTAATAACTTTAATAAATTAAACATGTTGTAGATCGTGGATACGGTTCCCGTGGCATGATTCGCAATGTGTATCAAACAAAACAAGTGTACGACAATCATAACTTATTCCAGAATAATTTCATAAAATAATTAAAAGCGATTTAAAGTTTTAAAAATGCACACTAGGTTTTAAAACGTGCAGTAAATCAGATAATTAGGCCAATTATTAATAGTTTAAGCGACCATGCTAGAATCACGGAATCCAGAAATGCCTAACACCTTCTCGCGTGTTAACAAAATTCCTTACTTAGAATTTCTGGTTTCACAGACTTTTAAATAAAGTCGATTTTTCTCGATTTGGGATTTTAAAATAAACCGGTGACTTGGGACACCAAATAAATTATCCCAAGTGGCGACTCCGAAAAATTAAATTAAATAATTATATTTCGATTAATGCCACTTTAATTGAAAAAACTCCCTTATATCCCCTCTCGAATGGTAAAAAGGAGGTATGACAGCTTTGACGACTCTGCTGGGGAACATAACCCAGAACTTTTGGTTCAAAGTTCAAGAATTCGAGCTTAGAGTAACTGTTATACTTGGCTTTATTCATTATCTGATTTTTACATGTTTGGGCCTAATGTGCTAAATACCGCTTTTTACTACTTTGATATTCTCTGAACTGTATATAAACTGTTACGAAACCCTTCTCTTCTTATCTCCGGGGATGTGCACGCTGGCGTGACTCCTTTTCTGTTAGTATCATACCCTAAACTAGAATGAGGTTCAGACAAGTTGCAAAGCCGGATGATCTTTTGGTTACCGGTACGCTGCCCCCCCCTCCCGGCTCGAGTTGTCCGCTCGGGTAAGCCAGATCTAGAACAATACACCCAGGTTTTAAACCTAGAATAAGTCAGCCTCTTGCCAGATCCTTAGTAGGAACGCTTATTTGCATCACGTGCATTTGACTTTGGTGACTCAACACAGGGGTTGGGTCCGTCTAGTACAGGTGTACCCAAATTAAAAAGACCATCCTAATGCATCTTACATGCTACTTTTACAATTATTTGCCTCGGTTTGCATGTTGACCGGTTTCTAGAACAGGGAGAAAAAAATTGAAAATTAAGGTATGAGAGAGATAATTGTCCGTTCTTGAAAAATCTGGTGTCCAAAATATACGGAAACTCTGCCAAAATTTTGAAAAAAAAAAAGAAAAAGGAAAAAACGAAAAAAAGGAAAATTGTTTCAAAATTCCATGTTTTTCTGTTATGTCAAAACTGGCCGAAGTACGTGGGTTTGATTCTCACCGGGCGTGGGATACATAGGCAACCCTCATCGGGTCCAGCCCCGTTTTGCAAAAATAACCCAAAAAAGAAGTTTGAAAAAAATGTTGTCTTTGTTGTCATAAATAAAGTGGGTGATGCCATTTTTTGTCTAAATAGCCGAACATCCCGAACGGGTGCTCGAAGGCCATTTTTGCAAAATAGTCACCGATGGTTTCTTTGCCAATTTTTGGCCACCTAGCAAGCACAACCCTAAAATCTTCTCCTTCTGAAGTGCTGAAGGGCTGTATTTGCAAAAGTGACCATGTTTCTTTTTTTACATTAGAATTTTGTAAAAATGACCCCTTTCATCGGTTTTAATAAATTCCACTTTGTTTTAAATCAATCACTTTAATCTAAATGTGCAGAATGAGCACGAGTCAAAATTTACCAATGATGGTTATGCCCAAGATTCTGTTGGAACTACATATGTGGTGGGAGGACCTGGGTATGCAAGGACGAGACAGAGTCAACCATTACTTGGGGGCGCTCACCGGATTACTAAAGATCAGGCTTAGGGGAGACATAATAAAAGCACTGGTTACATTTTGCGACCCGGCTCACAACGTTCTGCATTTTTTGGACTTCGAACTCACACCTACTTTGGAGGAGATAACAGGTTATGCTGGGAGTACCGAGGGTCTAAGACATAAATATCGGTTCTCTCCAAGGCCCGTTACCCATCACAAGTTTCTGTATTTGTTAAAAATAAGCAGGCAGGTCCAGTATGCAGACTTGACAAGTGGGTTTTCCTCTCTATTCTTCATATACCAGCGATACGGGCATGGAGGAGGGTTTGACAATCTAGAAAGTGGAATCTGTAGCAAGGATAACTCGTCAAAATGGGAAGAGCATAGATGCTTCGCTTTTATGGTGGCATTCTTAGGTCTTCTAGTATTTCCCAGGTAGGACGAGAATATTGATCTGCGGGTAGCTGGAGTCGTCAAAGTCTTGATTACCAACGCCAAGAGAACCCTCGCCCCTATGATAGTATCTGAGATATTCCGAGCTCTCATGGCATGCAAAGCCGGGGCAGATTTTTTCGAAGGATGCAATTTACTGTTACAAATATGGATGATTGAGCATCTGTGTCATCGGCCTCAATATATGAATTACGGATCTACAGGGAAAAGCTGCATTGAGGAGTTTGACACAAGGGTTTCAGGGTTCAAAATGCCAGAAGGGGTTAGAGATTGGATATCCCGCTTTCGTTCCCTAACTGCAGGACGGATTGAGTGGGCTTTGGGTTGGCTTCCTGCTGAAGAAATTGTGTAAATGTCTGCCACCGGTCCTTACTTTCTCATAATGGGCCTTCGAGGCATCCGGTCTTATGCCCCATACCGGGTCTTGAGACAGTTGGGAAGATGTCAGGTAGTTCCCCAAGATGTGGATCTTAGTGTTCATGCAGTTGAGATCTGCTCTGATGGTCAGTTTCATGAAGAAGTGGTTCGTCACATTTGGAACGAGGGCCAGTATTTGACAGCAAACACTCGAGTACGTGACCTAGCTAGAGGCGAGGTCTCGTCTAGTTATCTTGCTTGGTATAGAAAGGAGTTCACTGCAAGGTCCGAACCTGAAAGGCCAACCAAAAGGCCTCACATTCAGGAATTTGTTGAAGCCTCGCAAGAACAATTGGCCTAATTGACCAAAGAAAATGAGTATAGGGCCACCATAAGCAAATTACAAGGGCAAATTAGGGATCCTAAATTTGACAATGGTTTACAAGCTACTGCAGATGAGGGTGAAAAGAAGAAGTTGGCCCAAGAAAATGAAGCCCTCCGAGCCTAGATCCATAGAATGAACATAGCTACTGAGAATCCGGAAAGAAGCCGAACGGATGAAAGACTCATTAATGGTCTTAGGAAGAAAAATGTGAGTACGAGAATGATTTGGAAAAATCTGAAGGTAATCTGGCGAAAGCCCGTGCATAATTGGCAAAGAACGCAGAGGGACGGGCAGAGTTTGTTCGGAAATTAAAAGGGAAATATGATAGAGAAGTCGCGAGCCTGAAGAAAAAGCTAACTACCCTCGAGAATGAAATGGCTAAACAAGCAAAGAACTTTAAGGCAGAGAAAGAACATTGTTATGCACTGATGTCTTGGTTAGAAGAGGACATGCAACAGTTGCAGGGGCAAAACCATCATGACACCAAAGTTCTAGAAGCTAGGTTTCAACAAATCGGACGCTTGCTCCAAGAGAAAGGCATCATTAGGGAAAGGGTTAGAGCAATTGCTGACTATATCGTCATGAAATGCCATGAATGTGAGGACATGAATAGATCCACCTTCTTCGCCGCAGTGATGACCTTTGTTCACCAAATAATGAATGACCTGGACCGCCTCCAAGGATATCTTGCACGTAGGCCCGTGGCGAGACCGACTGATGTCCCGCGGGCCCCTAGAGTAGAAGCACTTATGTATTTTTTATTTTCTTTTCGAGTCTGTATTTTAGTTGCTATTTCTAGAGTCTGTTTTTAGTTTTTCAATTCTTAGAAAGCTATGATAGAGTCATTGTAATAGAAAACTTAGAAGTTTTAATGAAAAATTTGAAAAAAAAATCCAAAATTGTTTCTTTCTTTTATTTTTGCATTTATTCCTTCAACTACGTGATGATCTGATTCATACGGCTTTGTGATACGTAGGCAATCCCCATCGAATCCGGTCATGGTTTTAAATAACTCAAATAAAAGAGGAAATAAGAAAAAGAAAGAAAACAAGAATAAGAAAGAAAACAAGAATATGAGAGAAAACAATGAGAGAGTGCAAAGAAAAGAGAGCAAATAATAAAAGCGCCAAAAAGAAAAGAAAGATGCAAAGGTTTGGGAGATGGACCAAAACCGGGATGAGACA